AAGCGACGAAAACCCAACCCCGATGGCAAACACCGAGGGGGACGGCTTGTTTTACAACGTCGTTGCCAAGCGACGAAAACCCAACTCCGATGGCAAACACCGAGGGGGAGTGGAAAAAAAAAAAGGGGCCCTCCAACAGCGTTGCGTAATGACATAAGGTACATGTGTGTAAAGTTTCAGGGTCTAACTCCTAAAAACGGCGTGAAGTTTTGCTGTTGAATCTTGTTGTATCCATTTCCCTGAAACAGCTTGTATGAAAAACAAGATAGTCCGGATCGGATTCGAAAAAATTCAAAATGATTTCTGCGATAATGCCCGGCCTTTATCTCCTTGAAATTTGTTATGTCCCCCACAAAGGAAAATGAAACAGAAAGGAAGAGACGGGAAGTGTCCAAAAAAAGCGCGACAGCTTCAAGATACAAGCGAGGTGTACGCGTGTAGTCGACCACGTCGATGATGACTAAATAGCTGAACGCCTCAAAACTTTGTTGACGTTTTCATCACCTGCGAGTGGTCCACCTCTCTCGTACAACTCGCCTCCACTTCATCATGGATGCCCCTATATCTGCCGTTCCCCGGGTCTACCTATCTTCTCCTTTCTTTTCCATTCGTGCAACTGCTGTACAGTACAGCGTTGGCATCTCGTTTTCGCACGTCGACAAGGGCAAATCACGCGTACCGCGTCATTCATTAAAACAAGCATAACGCACGTGCTGCATCACCCAAGGTGGAAAGCCGTGGATGGAAAACCCACCCGTCGAAGCTGAGCCAACTGTCTCCCACAAGTACTATGTTCTTAGACTCTCGCTGAGTGACCAAACTCGCCATTTGAGCGAGTCCCACAAGTACTATGTTCTTAGACTCTCGCTGAGTGACCAAACTCACCATTTGAGCGAGACGCCATCACTGCCACTCAGCGGTCCTCCAGATCGTTCTGTGCACCCTCTCTCCCTCCCTGCCCCCGTGCTCGCGATGCTGCGTGGAGTAGAAAAGAATCCCATAGGTTTGGTTAGTTTCAGGTTTGTTTGTGTCCATGTATGATGTTTTGCAGATAGATGAGGCCCGAACTAAAGAAGATAGTTAAGGCCTGAAGAACATCAGGTCAAAAAAAAACTTCCATCGAAATATTAAAGGTGTTTTATTAAGTAATAATATATTTTCGGGTTTAGGCAGGGGACAATAATGGACCGACTCTTTGATAATCCCATCGGTCAATGCCCGGGTGCATCACTTTTACTTGGCTTCAAAAGAAACGCGTTCGCCGAGATTCGAACCCGGGACGCAATCAATCGTGGCGAACCGCGATGAAACTGCTAGACCGAAAGGGTAAAAATTTGCAAGCTTGCCTACCGTAAGCACTCCGGTTAAGCACGGTGTTGGTAATATGCGTGCGTTTGGTGCTCAAAACCGAACAATTAAAAAAAATGATTTCATAAGAAACACAAGTTTTCGCATGTTTTTTTCACTTCGAAGTAATGAATCCATACAACCTCAAGTTAAAAAGCATTTTCCGACTTTCAGGTCACGATGTCCAAAAGTTAGAAACACGGCCATACCACCACCAGGTGCTCAGTTCTGATCTGACATAGGAACAAGAACCCGTAGCGAGTGATCCATACTCGAGATCAAGATGAGTACAAATGCTCCATATCCTGCCGGGGTGAAGACATTGCAAGGGAATGATCCTTACAAAGAATCGCCCATCACTAAAAAAAAAGGCGTTATAAATGGCTCCAAGTTCCCATTTTTTCCCAAGTTTCCAAACGCTAGGAACTTGTACGTAGGCGTTCCTCCAAATGTTTAGAAAAAAATTGGAATAAACTCGGGCCCGACCGAAAATTTGGGGCCAGTTCTTCCAAGCGTTTGGAGTTTTTTTTCGACCTTTTGTGGGCACCACATGTCAGTATATAAGGCTTGGGGCACCTTATTTCGTGTCGGGCAAACACCCTTTTTACAGTGGCGTCAGCGGCAGGATGTCGTCCCTGCAATGGCAAAGACCCGGGTTCGAATCCGGGCACGTGAAAATGGGTTTGTTGTCCGCCGCTGTTTCGCAATGGTCTTGTCCCTGATATCAAACTCCTCGCTAGTTAGGAGCAGCACCCTAAAACCATGCAGGGTGCTGTGTCACAGGCTCGTCGCCTTGAGGCTTCCAACCTCACTGGCCTTAACCCTGGTCGTGCTGATGCATACACCAGTGCCATGTCTTTCACGCATGTCCCCAATCGCACCGCTATCGCCCAGCAGTACAACGCGATCCAGCTCCGGAACGCCGCCGGCATTGTCCCCGCGCGTCGATCCGACTCGGGCTCCGGTTCTGGCTCTGGTGGTGGGTCGGGCTCTGGGGGTCGCTCTGGTTCCGGCGGCCGCGGAGGAGGCAACTCCAACCGCAACCGCCGCAGCAAGGGCAAAACCCCCGCCGCTCCCCGGCCCCGCTGTACCTACTCGAAGTGCAAGAAGCCCCTCGGACACACATTCGAGACGTGCTTCCAGCGCCAGCGGGACGAGCGGGACGAGGACTCCGGCAACGGAGGCAGCAGCGGGGGCGGCTCCGGCGGCGGAGGCGGAGGCAAGCGCGCCAAGAATTCGTCCACCTCCAACAACTAGGGGTGCCCTGCTGCTGCTGCGCCTGTAGTAGTAGGGAATTGTTCTGGTGTTGCCAGTAGAGGCGTGAAGAGGAAACTCTCCACGTCCGTAGCTGTGTCTGTCTCTACCCCCGACTTTCTTGTCCCCCGTGTCCCTGTCCGTCATGGTAACTATGTAGTGCCTAGAGTCCGCGCCCGTCCTCACGGTACGGAGCGTGCGTTGTACGGCCTCTCTAGCGTGTCTGATCTTCGTGTCCCTTCCTTGCAGGCTGATGACGATGGTGTTGAGCCTGTGTGTCCCCGTCCTCCCTCCCGGAAGCGGAATCTGAGTAGCAATAATGTCCCCTCGGCTTGCGCCGAGCCTCCGTGTCCGGCTTTAACAACGTCCTGTCCTAGTGTTGCTGAGTCACGTGAGAATGTCAAGTCTGCTCAGTCTGTGTCCGAGTCCCCGTGTGCGCGTGACAGTGTGTCTTCGCGTAGCAGTTCAGGGTGTGTGCACCCGCGTGGGCGTGGTAGACGCGGGATACGGAAGGGGAGGAGGAAGTTGTCCTCTGTCCAAAATAATACGAATGATCAAGTGTGGTACAGCTCAAGGCTGGCGCACACAGCCATCGACTTTTCTCTGTCTTTTTCGTCTCGACGAGTCCGCATCGCCGGCTACGTCGACGACGTCCCCGTGAATGATATCACGGTGGACACAGCTACCGACGTGCCCGTCGTGTCGCTTGCTTGGTTGCGGTCTCATCCCACCTTGCAGTCTGTTCCTTTAAAACCTGTCCCTCCGTCCGCTGTAGCGCTTCGTGCCGCAAACGGCGAACCGATCAATGTCCTAGGATTCATCGATTTCCCTCTCATCTCAGCGAAATCACCCGTACGGTGACCGCTCTTGTTGTCCCCTCTCTGGGTCCTGACCTCATGCTCCTTGATAACAGTGTCATGTCTGATTTTGGAGCACTCCTAGATTGGGAAAACGAAACCTTGCTTTATTCGTCCTCTGGTCCAACCATACCAGCTGTTCATCGCATCCGCGATTCTGTCTCTTCGAATAGCACCAACCCGTCTCCCTCGTCCCGCGACGGGAACCTGTCCGTGGCCGCTGTACATAGCAATACTGATGCTATTCCTGTCATTTTGTGTGAAAAGGTCGTCCTCAAACCCAAAGAGGAAGGTCTTGCTGTTGTCTTCACCAATTGTCTGCCACCCGAAGATTGTACCGTTGTGGTAGAACCCCGCATTATCACCGAAGCGGATTTAGCTGCAGATGGCACACTCGAGCCCTTCAAAAAATTATTGTCGCTCATACCCTTGCCACTTGGCATGCCTCTGACGGCTCTGTCGTTGTCCAACTTGCCAACCCTTCCCCTGATGGAGTGTCACTCCCCCAGAAATGATGTCTTGGCCATTTGTCTACTGTCTCTGTAGTCACCCCTGATGAAGTACGTGTCAATGCTGTCGCGAACACCCCCGTCACCGATGAGGAAGTCCGCCGCGCTAGGTCTGATCTTGAAGGTGCTTTGTCCAAAGCCTTTTCCGGATCCACGTTCACCTCTGCAAAAAAGGAATCTGTCTTAGACTTGTGCGCGAAATATCGTCCCGTTTTCTCTCTGTCCATGTCCGAACTCGGTCGTTGTACGATCGCCGAGGCAGCGTTCCCCGTGCCACCTGGCGCCCGCCCCGTCGACCGTCCGCCGTATCGCCCCAACCCCCGTACCTCAGCTGTCATCGATAAATGTGTTGGAGATATGCTAGAATGGGGCATTATCGAGAAACGGCCCAGTCCATGGGGCAGCCCTTGTACGATTGTCGCCAAAAGCAACGGCAGCCCTCGTTTCTGTATTGATTACCGCCACACCCTCAACCGCAACATCATTCGCAAGACTTGCCCTATGCCCAACCTTGAGTCGTGCCTGGATGCCGTCGGGGACGCCCTCTACATCACTGTGGCGGACATCCTCAGCGCTTTCTGGCAGATTCCTGTGGCTGAGGAGCATGTCGACCGGATTGCCTTCGTGACTCATAACGGCAAGTACTGTTTCAAGCGTATGCCGTTCGGGGTAGCGAATGCGCCATGGCTGTTTCAACACGTAATGTCTATTGCTCTGGGCCACCTTGGTCCCGACTCCGGTGTTCTCTCGTACATGGACGATCTGATCTGTATCAATCGCACATTTGAGACCCATCTTGTCCCCATCGAGAAAATGTTCGCAGCATTGCAGGCAGCAGGTCTGACTCTCAAGCCGTCCAAAATCCAATTTGGTCGTAAAGAAGTCGATTATCTTGGTCATGTCATTTCTGCGAAAGGTATTTCCGTCAGTACCGACCGCATTGATGCCATCCGCGACTTGTCCACGCCGAAATGTATCAAGGACTTCCGTTCCATCCTCGGCATGGCAAATTTTGTCCGTCGCTTTGCCAAAAATTACGCTGACCTCACTGCACCGCTAGTTGATCTGACTCGCAAGGATTTCGTCAAACCCCGCAAATTTCGGGAAGCTTGGGGGCCGGACCAAGATGCCGCCTTCCAACAACTCAAAGATGCTTTGTATTCCGCCCTTGTCCTCCACTTTCCCGATTTTTCGAGAGAATTTGTCGTGCACACTGACGCTTCTGAGCTTGGTGTAGGTGCCTTCCTAGCCCAACCGTCCCCTCGTGAATACGAAGTGTCCGCTAGCAATTTAGACGACATTGTCCCCGTCGAAAGCGACCGTGAGTTGTCCTCTAGCGCTATGTTTGTGTTCCCTGTTGTCGATACTGCCAAGTTGCTCGATCATCAAAAGAAAGAGTTCCACCAGTATTTCGATTACTTGGGAAACCCCACCAAGGCTCGGGTACCACTCCCACCAGTTTAAGTCCAGCATGAGAAAAATTTTCATCCACGCAGGTCTACTCTGCCGCTCTTATGTCCCTGCCCACTTGCGTAGGCGAGGCACTTTTCGTGACCAACTGGTAGTGCCCGACTCTTTGCGGAAACTTGTCATAAATGCATGTCATGACCTCCCGGAGTCGGGTGGCCACCTAGCCTTTATAGGTACTTTCGACAGAGTCCGCGATCGTTATTGGTGGCCTAAAATGCACAAAAGACATCAAAGACCAAGTCGAAAGCTGTCTCTCTTATCAACACCGCAAAACGTCGCATCGGCCATCCACCCTGCCCATAGGGCACCGACCGGTCACCAACCCTTTCCAGGTTGTGGCTGTTGGTCTTGTCGAATACAAATCACAGTCGGAGGGTAACCGATTTATCTTGTCTGTCATCGACCATCTCACACGCTTCCTCATTCTCATACCCATTCCGTCCAAGGAGGCTACCGTAGTGGTCCGTCATCTCATTGACCGTGTCTTTTCGGTGTTTGGTCCGCCGGAAACTTTGCATTCTGATCAAGGAAGAGAATTTGAAAACCAACTCGTGAAAGAATTGCAAACTGTCTTTGGGTACGAGAAAACCCGCACGGCCGCGTACCGTCCGCAAGGGAATTCTGTTCTCGAACGTGTCCACAGCATTGTCCACAATATGCTTGCCATGTATAGCAACCTGGCTTGTGATAATTGGTCAGAACTGTTGCCTTTTGTCCAGCTTGCACACAACACAGCCTATTCCAAGACATTGGAGGAAACACCCCATTATCTCGTCTTTGGCCGTGCTTCTACCCTGCCTGTCGAACTTATTCTCGGAGTTCCCGCTACCGATGCTCCGCAGAGTCGTCTTGACTACTCGCGTCGCACCGTAGAGAATCTGCAACTCGCTTACGAGTTGGCCCGTCGCAATCTCAAAGAACGCACGGATAAGCAAGCTCTCGACAACGAGAAATTGTCCTTCCCTAGTTTCAAAATGGGCGACCAGGGTTTGCTCCACCGCCCGTACAACGAAACTGATGGCCCCAACCCCAAGCTCGTTAGTCCTTGGCACGGGCCATGCACTGTCAGATCTCAAATCTCTCCTGTCATTTATCGTGTTTCAAAACCCAACAACCCCGCAGAAGCCACCGGCCACTTGGGTCGAATGAAACCATTTGTCCAACCTACGTCGTCCCCTGTCCCCGATTTTGAGGCTCTAGACGACATGTTCCTCGGAACAGCCCTTCCTGTCCCTGATCTTGATGGCTCTATGCACACCGTCACGATCGGCCCGTATGTCGTCGAAGCCATCGACGGTCATAAACGGGGGGTGGGCAAAGCGTCGGTGGATAATTTCCAATACCACCTCAAACTGCAAGGCCAGCCTCCACAGTTTGGAGTTTGGCGTCACTACAGCACCCTCCCACAATGTCGGGAAATGATCGATTCCTATCGAGCTGTAGTCATGTCTGAACATCCCTCGGCATTCGACCCGCCACGCAAGTAGTCACGGCGCTGTTCGTCTCGCCGTCGTAACACGTAAGGGCAGTTGTGTCGCGTGTTTCTGTTGTGTCCAGTGTATGTCTGCCTCGGTTTTTGCAACGACCGAAGCCCGGCGCCCGCGTGTCTGTCAGTATGTACTGTAGCCGGCAGTATTTTTTTGTGGCTACTTTTGTACGCCTCTTTCATGGCTGTCTGTCGTCTGTCGTCTGTATTCATTGGTGTTCCTTTGCGTTGATCGTGCGTCGTACCGCGCACACGCACCTCGGGGCTGTCCTTTTCCTAACAGGCACGCCCTACGATCGTATATGCACGTCTTTAGGCTGGGAACCTTGTCGTGTTTCCAGGAGTTAGCGTCGTGTGTCCATGGATCATTGTGGTTTGGTTTTTTCTGTCCCTAGGTGTATCGTGTCTGGTCCTTCCCACTCGTTGAGTAGTACACGAGATTTTGATTACTTGTGGCGTTTTGAGAGTGGCAGTGACTTTCCGCCGCAGGGGGGTTGATTTCACGGACGATTCTTCGAGAAGAGTGATAATCATACACGACGAACACCGT